GTTAAAACTAGAATATTTTGAAAGGTATAAAAAAAACTGATTGTGTTTGGTTCGAGATATTGAACTTATAAAAAATCCAGTCAGTCATCAAAGAGAAAGGCCCGATGTTCTAGTTTTTTTTTACAAGCTGATTATCTTGAAACGGATATATAGTTTTTTTGCTGAAATATCGAAAACATTCTATTTTCGGTTCCATCCATCTACTGAGACAATTTCAGATCTTCCGAAGAATGAAACTCGCTTAATAAAGGTAGAAATATAGACTCAACATAGTAAATCACTTCACACAATTTTCTCATCAGTCATTTATCTTACTCGATAAAAAACTCGTGGTTGAGTAAAATTATCATCTTCACTTGATTCATGTCGTGCTGCCATGCCTGATTCAAATGTTGCATGTTCAATATGTTTGTCACGATTCGTTACATCTGGACCATTAAATGAATTTCGATAATAAGTTGGAGCACCACCTATATATTAAAAATGATTTGTTTTTAATTGTTTTTTTAAATAAATAAATAATACTAACCTTGATTATGACATGCTTGCATTGCACCATCACGTTGATAAGTACAAACTTTAACATTTTTATTTGTTTCAGGATTATTAACTGGAATAAGAAGATGGTTTGTTCCAACCCGATGAAGATGTGTATCAGCATATGAAAAAAGTCGACCCTAAAACGATATTTAAATTTAAAAAGAAAAACAATCGAATTTTGATGGCTATTTTTTTAATACTTGTAACATTTTATCTGGTGATGCTTCAATTCCAGGTGGCATATGTGCCGGTGAAAAAGCAGCTTGTTCAATTTGTGCAAAATAATTCTCAGGATTTTCATTTAATGTCATTTTACCAATACGACGTAATGGAAAATCTTTTTGTGAAAATACTTTTGTTAAATCAAATGGATTATATGGAAGATTTTTTGCTTGGTCATGTGTAACAATCTAAAAATTAATTACAAAAAAATTTGAACATTTTCTTTTATTTTTTATTCTAATTAGATATTAAATACTTGAACATAAAGTGTCCAACTTGGATATTCTTTTCGAGCAATTGCATTATAAAGATCAGCTAATGCATAATCAGATTGTTCACCAGCTAAAATTTTTGCTTTTGTTGGATCGAGATTTCTAATGCCTTGATCAGTCTAAACAATGAATTTATTTACAAGATTGAAAAGAACAAAAAATAACTAAATAACGAGTTTACTCGAGTATGAAATTTAACCCAAACAAATTCATTTTTATCATTAACCATTTTAAATGTATGTGAGCTATAGCCATGCATGTGACGAAAACCATCTGGTATCCCACGATCAGAATACAGAAACATAAACTAAAAGAAATATCTTGATTTTAGTTAAATTTGATTTCTTATAGATATATTTGAAAATGACTTGATGTGTAGCCATGGGATGATTAGCAAAAAAATCCCAAACCATATTTGGATCTTTTAAATGTGTTTGTGGATTTCGTTTTTGAGAATGAATAAACATTTGAAACTAAATTTTAAAAAAAAAACGTCAATATTATCAAGTAAATGTTAATATACATACTAAAAATGGATCACGAACAAAAAATATCGGTGTATTATTGCCAACTAAATCCCAAATGCCTAAAGAAATATAAGAAATGTATTAATTTAGTTTTTTTTTTTTTTTTCATAATTATTCACCTTCATCAGTATACATTTTAATAGCAAAACCTCGTGGATCACGTACTGTATCAGCTGAGCCACTTTCACCAGCTAGAAACAAAAAATAGACTGTGCATCTTCTAACATATGTGACCAATGAATTTCATGCGTACCAACAGTTGAAAAACGAGCAAGAACACGTGTTTTTGTTCCTTTTTTGAATACTTTTGCTTTGCAAATATCCGATATATCATCAGTTGCTTCAAATACACCAAATGCACCACCACTATAAAAATAGAAAATCAATTAATTTTTTTCTTTGAATTTAGTAAAACCAACCCTTTGGCATGAACAACTCGTTCAGGTACTCGTTCACGATCAAATCGTTGAACATCTTCAATATAAGGAAAATCAGAAAGCAACAATGGTCCTCGTGGACCAACGGTAACAACAGACGATCGTTCGCCTAGTGGACGACCATAACCAGTTGTTAATTGTTCAGTTTTCTATGAATAAAAAATGTTATTATTTTAGACAAAATAAAAAATTTCATACATGTGATTTTTTATACTCATGTAGTTGATAATCGGATGGACAGTATTCTTTTGAATCAGATTGCTGTGAATTAGCCATTATGAAATGAATCTACAATAATCGAAAAACATGTACTAAACAATATGAAATAAATATAAATGTAAGTATAAGCACACTTCTTTCTCTTTATTTTATAGACTGGACTCGATCTTATCACTATTTGCACTAGGTCAAAGTAAAAAAAGAAAAATACTTCTGCTTCGTCATTCTACTCTCGATTTGAAAAGCTTGATGCACCTTACTTAGGGTGAATAAATAAATATAAATCATCACTGTAATGTATCTATATTTTAAAAGCAGCTTGTTATTAGATACAAAAGCTAAATGCAATAATGATGAAAGAAAAAAAAATCAACTTTTTTTATTAGATATGATAAAAGAAATGAACATGGGGCCACTAAAAATACACTCGAAAGAAATACGAGATAAGCAGCAGTATTCTTTCTTTTTTGCTTTATTTTATCAGCTGCGTTTTTTTTTTCTACTTTTTCGATTTATTCATTCAAGAAAAAAGTCAAAAGATGACGCTCAAAATCAGTAAACGATCAATTTTTGATTATTTTATTTTCAAATTTTGAAGGAAACTTGAATGACTTTCTTTCTTATCCATTAGTTTATTTATGTTGAAGAAAACTATTATGTAAAGCTATTTTTGTCATAGCCAAATTATTTTATTTTTGTCACAACAGTGTAGGCTTCTATTAATGGCAGAGCCAGGGGGTAATTGGAAGCAGCACAACGCCCTCAAGAAACGAGATGATCCTTTATTACAAAAACAAGAAAATATCTGTTTTTCAGTTTCAAACAGGGACTGAGTGCCCACCTAAGAATTTTTTTTTTGACTTCGCCACTACTTATTACGAAGAGTGATCTATTTTAATGCATCTGTTGTCAGTGGCATAACTAATATTTTGATAGGAAAATGTTAATGTATATTGTTTACTATGTTTTATAGAATGTCGGCGTTCTATGTCTACGTGTAACAAAATAAAGTTCATGCAACAAAATCAGATCATCATTATGTATCAGTAAGGCAAATACATATCATAGAAGAAAAATGTGTTTTTTTTCTGTTATAAAAAAGTTCTATTTCTAATTTACATTTTATTTCTACGAGACTTTTGATTTTTCTTTAAAACTATTGATAAATATTATCATAACTCTAAAATGCGATGAAAATCTAATATTACAAAAAAGTTCTTAAAATTGTAAGATTGAGACTTAGACTCTTATTTTACTTCACTAACATTGGGTTGGTAATTATATGAAAATGCAAAAAGAACTTGAACGGCGATAAAGTATAGGTTTCCACTTTGATTGATTGGGAACTTCTATTAAGTGAAATGAACAATAATATCTCCGTGGTAAACATGTTGGTTACGATTGATCTTTGTCACATTGAACGAACTATGTTTTCAATCCTTGAATTATATGCTGACTACTCTCTACTTTAATTAATATTATTTTTTACTTCTAATGAAATTAGACATAGTAAAGAATTGTTGTTATCCGAATAGTTTCTTTGAATATGAATACAACAGGAACAGAAGTTACATCAATAAGTATTGATAGAACAATTCAGGCTGCTAAACATTATGAACCTTCTTTGGTGAATATCTTCTTTAAAAGTATTGGTTCATTTTCTTACGATGATTCACAAGCTTTTTAATGTATCTGATCTGTTAGCAAGTTTTGACATGATTATGGTTAACTAAAGTCTTGTGCATAAAATTATGCATAATCAGCTTGATTTTTGAAGAAAGCGAAAGCTTGAAAACATTTCTACTTAAGCTTCTACTTCTCGTTTTCTAAGTGAATACTGTTTGCCATAATTGACTATTGTTCAAATGATATAAGTTCATAAACAAGCAAGGCTGTTTGTAAACCGTGTTATATTTTCCAAATTTCTCAATAGAAAACAATTCATTTGAAGTCAGAGTTTTTCTCAAATTGCAGAGATCTATTTGCTCTATTCAATACTGTAGTTTCTTTTAAATATGAAACTAGACACTGGAGGAGAATTTAGTGCATAAGAATGCGAAATTAAGTTTAACACACGTTAAAATTGCGTCCGAAGCAGAAATAATGAGAGCGAGCATCCAGAGGTTCAGAAGTTTTCGATCCTTTCATGTTTTCTTAACCTGAGAGTTCTTTTGGATAGTTCGATGTAAACATAAATTTCACAACTACAAAAGCAAGACATGAACGAAATATCACGATTGTAAATATTTTGCTAATGAATTACTAAGCGAGAGATTTGACAAATATGATAGGGTCGATGTTGATGTGCAATGATCTGGAATATCTCAAAGAGAAACGAGACTATCGTGGTAGAGATGGTACATCGTCATTTGCAAAGTTGTCAAACAATACATTCTTATTTGAACACACACGTACAATAGGATCAATGGATACTTGAATAATAACTGTGGACACGAATCATTGAGTATCGAACTTCCGTGTAAATGAGAACTTCAATTAGAGAATGAATAGGCAATGTCAGATATTTATCGCGTTGATATTAGCTCGAAGTAATACACAAAGAAGCTTTTTCAATAAAGAAGCATTTGATAATTGCGCATGAGACTCAATAACTTTCTATTAAAATGTATGCAATAACAATACGCATTAGCAAATTCCTATTGTCGTAATGAAAAAATTTGTTTTTCAATGGCAATGGAGGAAGATAATGTCTAGAAATTGTTTATTTTTTTTTATCAATAGATTTTTAAAATGAATTATAAAAAATGATTGATTAACATAACCTAACAGTTTTGTGATGTTGGTTTCAGGTTACTTGTGCTGATACGCATGTCTGACAGAATGTTTTTCAATTTGTCAACCACCAATGGTTCTAAAGTTTTCGTTCGTCTAAAAACATATGGCATTGTGGATTCGACTTGAGTTGAATGCTGAAAAAGCTTGAATACTTACGAAAGGAGCCAAATGAATTCCCATTTGCCAATGACAGGAATATTTCTGCATGCATAGACGAGTGAATAATTTACGTAGTCTGTAGCAATAACATTGTAGTCACCTTTTTGATCTATAGAGAGAAGAGAGTATCAGTACTGTCATTTCAAAAGCGACAAAATATGCTTACTTGGATTATCGAATGTAACTTGGAGCGCTGCAGGTTCGATCGAGTTTTTCACAGTAGCAGAACCTTTGATACTAGTGTAATGACCGAACAAATTAATAGCCTGATTCCAGACGCCAACAGATCCATCAGAATTTGGTGTGTATGTGGCATTGACACATTTAGAGCCGATTTCGAAGATAACATTGCTTCGATAGGCTTCATACCACAGACCAACATACTAAACGATGCCAGAACAAAGATAGTTATGAGTTACTCGCAGTATCTCTACTAAAAATAACTTACTTTAGTAACATCGAAATCCTTTTGTGTAGCAATGTTTGGGCATTGGCTTGCGTGTGATACACTGCTAAGAGAGAAGAGAACAATGGCAGCAAGAGTCAGTAACAACATGATGAAGTTGTGTGCAATATTGGATTTTCACGTTCTTCTACACATATATATATATACAGACTCACACGTGTGGGTCATTCTTATATAACTTAGTGCGGTGCACATATGCATCAAAATGAATATTTGGTAGGAAAGAAAAACATCTGTGCAGAAATATGAAAACAATCAACATTGGCTTTACTTAAAAAGGTCAAATAAATACTGTACTTTACATAGAGCAAAGTACATTTCGGTTCTGATATATCAAAACAACGATTACATCGATGTCGTAACGAGTCATCGGATATTTTATATACCATTTTTCACCAATATTGATAATTTATCAACGATTTTCAACAATTTTAGGTATCATGCATATTTCATCATAAATCATATTCAGATTTACACTTTGTATCACCGCTTTCAATTAGTTCTAATTAATCAACTTTGTTTGATAGTTACTCCTTTTGTTATTTGATTCATTAGGATTATTCTCAGTTCACTCTAGCAAGTTAACATTAGATTATGATCGTATAGTTGTTTAGCATTGTTGAGCAGGTGCATATGAATTTAGATGCTATCAGTTCATATCAATCATGATTCTTTGAAAATCTATTATGCAAACTATCAAGGACCTTGATCGAAATGATTCATTCTGAATCTTTTATTGCCAGTTCTGTGATAAATTTTTGTTTTCATACTCTGGAGACGTTCTCATAACCTCTAGGGTCACTGTTTCATCAGGCAAGTGAAGGCATAAATTTTGTCAACTTTAGCATTCAACGAAGCCATCTAATTGTAAAATCAAAGTTTTCATAGCTAGAATCCGATTAACAAGCCAATGGTACGATATTGCCATTGTTGAAAAATTTATCTAGTAATTTCTGACGACACTTTCATTTCGAATGACACATGGACAAATATAGGAGGAGATTCGATGAGCGAGCTCATTTTATCAATAATTCTTTTCGATGGCGTTTGATAAAATCTTTACAAGAATGACATTAATATTGGTTTGTTTGGATTTTGATTTCAGTGACTTCTCTAATTCTTCTCATCATCATTCAGTTATAGATATGCAATCAACTCCATAATACTACAGCGATTAATGCGTTAAACTGATTTGATTTCTTCATCGATAAATACAATTTGTCATTATTTTCAATGAAAACGTTGAAGTTCGTCACAATTTGACCAATGAGCTCGTTGCGTCACCCGGATCTCTCATGGCTCAAAAAGAAAAAATCATGTTTATTGTCCAATGATCGACACAAGTCATTGTTGAAATCTTCATTCGGTTTGAAAATTTCTTCCATTTTTGTCTTGGTTGCTGAACATTGGACAACGCGTTGTCATTGTCTATCAATCATACCAGCTCGACAATGCTAGCTCATGCTTAGCAAGGATGATATTCATAAAAAGAAAAAAAAACGAGAAAACGAGAAAACGAAGGCTTCACATATCACGATATCCAGTGATATGTTATTGAGTTTTACTACTGGTATGGCTCGACATGAAATAGTATCAAGTTTTCGTGAATTAGATCGTCCAAATAGGACGACCAAAAAGCAAAAATTATTTGATAAAGACATTAATAATTAAAAGTTCATTGGTAGATTAAAATGGATGAACTTCACTTTTTGTCGATTTACTGAGAAGAATCGAGTCTCAAGTAAAGCAAACAGTTGTAACGTCAAGTTAAATACATGCCCTTGATAACAGAAGGTGAAATATTAACCGATTGTTTGGATTTTCTCAGTCACTTCCCACACGTTTTTCTTTGAATAAGCTCCTGATCTGAGGATGTGAGTAAGAGGCGTGACGTTGCAAATTGGATAATGTGGATCAAACTTCCGGATTTCGATTTACTAATTTATGCTTTGACCATGGAGACTCGATGAGATTCAGTCAGTATGAACAGTGATGGAATATCCATACATAGAGTGGCACTAGCAAATAATTAATTTCAGTGATTCGTTCATAAAAGGGACTAATAAAAGCATAATTACAAAATTAGGGCGCTACGCTCATCTCTTGGCACAACTACAAGAATGAACGAAGAAGTCATGCTAAAACATCTTCAATCTATTGAAAAACATCAATACTATTCATGACGACTGATATCGAACTCAGAATCAAATGAAAGCGCTCGCACGTTTCTTCAACTTTTCTCTCTTGTCTTATATGTGTCTATAAGCCTCTTTCAGTGTATTGTTGTCTTTTGGTTACCTTTGTTAAATAAAGGTTGCCTATGAAAATATGTGGCAGGAATGAAGAAAAAGAATATATTCTTCGGCAACAATGCATGCAGGAGTATTATGGTGTCAGAGTAGTGATTGACGAGAAGAACAAAAAGAACAAACTTGCATTTCGATAAGAAAAAGTAAATATTATAGACGGAGTACTGTTTGAAACGAAATCCATCAAATCATGACATCTTCATGTTCTTTTGAAAGCAACAACACAACGAAGAAGGATCTTAATATCGAAAATAATTGGGATAAAGTCATTCCGATCTCGGCTCACCTGAAAAGCCTAAAGTACGGAGCCAACAAATTCATACTGCCTCTCTCCTTTCTCAGCCCTCATCACCTTATCGGGGTTGGTCTCTTAACTTCACTTTTTTTGCCAACGATTGTTACCTGTGTCCTATCAATCATCTTTGTCATCTATCCTGTCATCAAGCAGATACTACGCTATTACAACTTTCTACCGACGCCTTATTCAACAGATATTATTCGCACACCATACACTGCACGCTGTGATGGAGATTTTGTAGTTTGTCTTATTGGCTTCCGACCCAATGGAGCAAATCCTTTTACGAAATCATTTATTGAAGTAGGCAATGCATTTCGGAGCATGTTAGCGGAATTAGAATCAGATACAACGTTGGGCTACATGGGCGGTGACATCTATGTCGGAGCAAACGACCGAAAGAGTACAACTTTAGTTGTACAATACTGGCGTGATTATGAGTCACTTCAAAGATGGACGCACACAAAAAGAAAGCTGTTCGACTATGTTGACGATGTCTAGATATAGGAATTAAGCTACGATACTACATCATGTTCGTCGAATTTCTGAACAATACGCATGGGTATCCATGTGAAGACAATGTTGGGGTACATGAAACGTGATCTTTCCAGTGGCGTAAATGGAGTATGGCATGAAACTTATCTAGTGAAAGATGGAGAATATGAAGCGATCTATGTCAACATGCCACCAATTGGTCTCGCTTTAGCAACGCAGGCTGTCCAGGAGACAAAGACTGATAACGCATCAGCGAGAATAGAGCGAAGAAAAAAGGAGAAGCAGGTGCAGTCCACAATGAGCACATGTATGAAGGACTACATAAATGTGCAGAATAAAAATTGAATACAATCATGTTCATAGAACATTTTTTTTTCCTTTAATTGATATTCTATATTTGATATAAATGCAAATGATTCCTGTACAATGGTTTCTTTTACTCAATGTATTCTAATTTGCCACATACGGATAATAGTAGGTGCCAAATCCTGACTCTGAATCTAATTGTCAACTAATTTGGCTCGAATCAATTCGATTCGATCGCATTTAATTAGATCGAATTGAATCTAGCTGAATGAAGTTAATACATATGAGTGTATCATTCCCTGGTTGCATCAACAAGTAAAAACATGGGAGCTGATTGACGATAATACTATGAGGGTGTTGCTAAACGTTCGAACTGTAGCAGTCGACATTGCTTGTAAGAATCGTGCTCAACATTTCCCTGAGTCTCATATCCTTTTATTCTGTCTTTTTAAGAGATTTCTCTTGACTATATCCATGGTTTTCGTTACTTTCATCATTGGAAAAGGAAATACATGAGAATGGTTGCTGATATAGTACGAAACGTTCACAAGTTGATTTTCATTGGAACACTAGAACTTGAAAGTGTAAGAATGAGAATACGAGATCAAAGATAGGAATATATGAGGGTACAAATCAAAGCTTGCAGAGAAAATAGTGACTATCACATTGCTTACGGAGACTCACGAAAACGTGTCTATGTACTTTATTATTACTTCACTGGTCGTGATATGTGTACCGTTAAAATCTCACGAACAAGGTGAGTAATCATTAAGCAGAATGTGAGACAGTAAAATTTACCTGAATTCAATATCTATTTTTAGCACATTAAATTAGAATCAAATTTTTAGCTGATACAGAAAAGTATAGGATGCCCCAAAAGTCTCTTTCACTTGAACTTGTTGTATATTCTTTGCTATTTAATTAGACTTAATCAACTATTTTTTTTTAAATTATAGGTGAATACATCGAGTTTTTATTTAAAGGAACAAACTTTAGAAATATTATTCAAAGCTAAAACCTTTAGCCGACATAGAAAAATTTCGTCTAATTTCTATTTTCAGAAAAACTCATGGATGACATTTGTTTTAGTCACTTGACTTTTGACTTGATTCTATTCAGTTCGCTTTGACAAGATTCGTCAAAATAAAGTTTCATCAAAAGACTGTTCAAGGATTCAAGAATTTAAAGATCCGAATCAATCAATAATTCGAAGATTCAGTTTAGTAAACAATGACTTCACAACATTCGATCATCGTTCATGATTAAGGTGCTTAAGTTTGCATAACAAACTGTCAATAATCAATAAACCATTGAAGCGCAATCACTTTATTTTATTTTGTTGTAGCAAAGAAGAAAATCCTTAGTAATCATTTGAATGCTTTCATCATTATTATCATTATTAACAATTTAGTTTAAACGTATGTGTTCAACAAAACCGATTTAACGTTTTGCACTGTTACAAGTATACATTGCATCAAGTATAATCATGGGACATAAATGAGTAAACTTTCATAACTACGGTCACGTATAATATTGATAAATTAGTCATGCCTCGATAAAAACTCTCACAAGCATTTAAAACAACTCCTTTTCAGCGTTGAAGTTGTTCGTTGTTAAGCAGACGAATACTATTTCTCCAATTGCTTGGCAATTATGTGATCAGCTACAGGTTCTAATATGTCATC